GTTTATTACGCATGAATGAATTCATAGGCTTTCTGGAATTGCATTTTTTTAAAATCTAATATTTTACAATCAAAATGTACTAAAACACAAAAGCTCGCATTATGTGAGTAATCGAACACACATTTAATCATCAATTAAAATTTACAAAGAAAAAATAAGGTGCAACATCTTAATAATTACGTTAGAAATTAGGATCAGTAGTTTATCAGTGGAGAAAATGGCGTCCACTTGAACGCATTTTGCAGCGATAGCAACAGAGTAGTATCACATGGTATCATGACGTAACACTGTAGTACTCTATACGTATGTGAGTCGTATGACAGCTGAGTTAGAGAGAAAAATTCAGGCCATGGAATCAAGATGCTTCAGAAAGATCCCTGTCTCTTATACACATCTAGATGTGTATAAGAGACAGTAATTGGGTTGATTTTGGTGGGCTTATTATACCCGGGAGGGAGTCCCTTTCAAAAAGCCATGATGAGTGTTTTCCTGTTTTTAAATATAACTATTTTTTCTTCTTTGTTTTAATGATTTATAACTATTAATATAAATTTTCTCATACCTGTACTTCATTACATTGTCGTTAAAGTTTTTATACACTGTATATGAAATGCTTTGATAGAGGGCCTCTTGAAGTTAGTACTCTTTATAAGAGTCACCCTTCAAAAAGATTGTCAAATAAAGTAAATAGATAAATTATTTTTTTCTTTTTAAACTGACAGAATGTCCTGTAATGTGTAGGGATGTCCATTCAAAAGGCAGTTCAATTTTTTTTTTCTTGAAAGCATTGTAAATGTTATCTGCAAGGTACTGTAGTCATGTCAGTTGGGATTTTACCCGGGAAAATGCTGCTATTTGAAATTGTGCATAAAGTTCGGAGTTAGCTTATACCCACGGTTAGCTTTTTCAGGGTTGTAGCTGTAAAAAACTACTGTAAGGGTGGGTGATTAAGGATTGCCAAGGGGTTTGTGGAGGCCCATGAAATTAGCTGTAGTCTGGGTGTAAAACCAGGTAAATCTTTGCCCACCATAACTACTGCATGTTTATTCCTGCTTTTTTCAATTGGTTAAAAAGATAAATTTTTATTTCAAAGTAATGTAGGTAAATGTTTTGACATTGGTTGTTGACCTTGGCCATCCTCTTTATTTTACTAAGAGCTAATTATTCTTCTGTGCCTAACCATTATTTAATGTTGTTAATTGTCATTTTCATGAACATCCCATCAAATTTCCCCTCTAGAATAGTCGATCATAATATACAGTATGTATTCATACAGCAAACCTAATTATAATAAGCGGTCTCTAAATCTAAATTAGAGGTTCTTATGCTACTTATTCTTACTCTATTTTCCTATAGAATACCAGTCGTGTCATCACAGCGCCAGGTGGCACCCTCTTTTGCCAACCAGACGTTGGTTACCGTTTATTACGCATGAATGAATTCATAGGCTTTCTGGAATTGCATTTTAAAATCTAATATTTTACAATCAAAATGTACTAAAACACAAAAGCTCGCATTATGTTAGTAATCGAACACACATTTAATCATCAATTAAAATTTACAAAGAAAAAATAAGGTGCAACATCTTAATAATTACGTTAGAAATTAGGATCAGTAGTTTATCAGTGGAGAAAATGGCGTCCACTTGAACGCATTTTGCAGCGATAGCAACGGAGTAGTATCACATGGTATCATGACGTAACACTGTAGTACTCTATACGTATGTGAGTCGTATGACAGCTGAGTTAGAGAGAAAAATTCAGGCCATGGAATCAAGGTGCTTCAGAAAGATCCTTGGCATCTCCTATAACGACCGCATCACAATTGAAGAGGTAAAGATGAACGATTAGGCCATACGAAGATCTACTGACCATTGTCAAGAAAAGAAAATTAATGTGGTATGGACAGGTATCAAGATCGTCCGGACTTGCCAAAACAATCCTGCAAGGAACTGTGGAAGGAGGCAGGAAGAGAGGAGACAGAGAAAGAGATGGGAAGACAACATCACAGAATGGACAGGCTTTAAGCTGAGCGAGACACTATGAAAGACAGAGGATCGAGAGGGATGGAAAGAACTGGTTGCCAACTGTAAATTTGACTATGGGATGAGCAGAACAAAAGAGATAACTACTTATTAATTATGGAGCCAATCCACTTTTCATCATCCATGCTTTATATAATATACAGATATTCCCCAATTTAACCTGATTTTTTTAATGTCACAATTTAGTTTGCCCTTCAAAACCTCAATGACTAATGTAATGTGAATGCGTTTGATTGCTAACTCATCGTTGTGGCCTAATTCTAAGTTTCCTGATCACTGTCGTTGAATCACTTTGATGCATTTGTTATCATTGTCTTATCGTTCATCAAAAATTAATTCATTGAGTCATGATATTTGACTGCCAGAGTTCAGTAATTAAAATTTAATATTGATTAGCTGTCCATCGAAGGTCATGCCAGTGAATCCTATTCTATTTTTCATTGTTTTGTCGTCCAAACTGAAGGTTTATTTTTATGAATCATGATTCATGTTGGAATAAAATTAATCATGATTAAAAAATTAATTTCATGTTATATAGTATAGTGAAAATCAGGGTCCCCGTGATCACAGAATACCAAGTCTATTGGCTTCCTTCTCAATAAACTACAGTAATGTATAACTTAACGATAAGCTAGTCTTTCAATTCATTGAATTGTTATCGAAATTCAGGTCTTTTCCATTTCATTTCCCTCTTTACTGCATAGTTTTTGCTTCAGAATTTCAACATAAGCATCCCAAATTATCATTAGCAATAACAAATATATACAAGTGATGTTGTAGGTAAAAGTTGTATGTTCACAAATACAGTATCTATGTAATGTTTGGTTATTAGCTGTTACTGCAGTAAATTGCTGTTCATTCTGTTGAAAGGACATCTTATTCTCCCTCTTCAAACTCTAGCCTCAAAGACTTCTTTTTAAAAGCAAACTGTAGAAAATTGATATAAATCTTAAGATGCTGTGCAATAGAATTCATCAAGGGTAGAATGCATGTCTTTAGTTTATTGACATGAACGCAAATGACCTCAGCTCGCTGGCGTGGTATTGCTTCAGATTCCACTGACAGATACTGCGATTGGATGATGTGATGTGTTGCATTCTACTTCCATTTGTAATTATAGCGAATCGAGTGACTGAGCAGTACGTCAAGAGCACCGCTAACTACAATCTTAACATGGGCGCTGGTTCCAGCCACTCTTCACCCAGGGTTCAGTTGGTAGAACCAGGTGTTCTCGGATAGGGATTTAAATTGGAGGTTCAGTGTACACATCTGGCTGGTGTGCACTTTATAGAACCCATTGCATTTTTTCAGAAGAAACAGTGAAGACAGTGAAATGTACAAATAATGATATAATAAAGAATATTAACATATTAAATTACTTTTGTCTTTGACTTTTGTAGGCTTGACCAGTGCCTGTTGAGGGCCAACAGCCTCAAAATGAATTCTAACTGGGACTATGTCCTTAACGACTGTCTCTTATACACATCTAGATGTGTATAAGAGACAGCAGCACAACCATTTTTTTCCCTCTAGTCCTGACCATGTAATCCCTTTGTATTGGAAACTAAATATCTGGCGTTCCAGTCAGTAACACAAGCAATGCTACTAATTTAGGAAAGACCTATTTTGTGTTTCTACAAGTAATAGTGAAAAAAAAAATGTTTATACCATTGCCCATGGCAGTGTCAAATTAAAATTTATAAATAGAACATTGTACTGTATCATGAATTATAAATAATAAAAAATGAAATAATAATGATTAAGTGTATGAATGAAAAGTACAACAATAATAATAATAATAAAGTATTAAAAATAAGATACTGTAGTAAATAAAAAAAATAAAATATAAAGGAAATATTAAAATTTAAAAAAATAAATAAAAATTATATTACTTTATTATGTAATACAATGTTATGAAGTTTTATGGGTTATTTTTTTTTTTTTTTTTTAGAAGCTAAGCAATACAAAATTATATTATTACTTTTTTTTCCCACAGGAAAACATTTTCCGACGATCAGGAAAATTGCCAGATTATGAAATCTATCTTCGAAACAAACTGGTGAGTCTTTTTTTTTTTTATCTTAGATGTTGTTCAGTAGTTGGAGGCATTGTTAATTTGTTGCCTTATAATGAAAATGGTGGTAAATTAATAATGGTTTTTTTCCCTTCAAATTATCAGTTGAATAAATAAAAGATACGAAGTAATCAATTCAATTGTTTAGTATATTCAAGTTTTTTAAATTTAAACGTTACATGGACAGTATATTTTTAGAGTGCCATACAATTCATATAACTGCCAATTCATCCTGTGTTGGTAATTCTTCATCCAACAGTTACTGCTAATTCATCATGTGTTATTACCCCCTCCTGTCTCTGTAGGCACAAAGTAAGGGTGACTACTACCTCAACTGTAAGCTAGTGAAGCTGCTAATAGAGATGGAAAGACTACGAGAAGCAGTCGACCACATTCTGCTGACACAAGACCTGGAGTCTGTTGCAGACCAGCCAATCTGGTGGGAGAGCACAGTCCACACCTTAGAGGTGAGTTCCTACCAGACATCACTGTTGTATGCCCATATTTAGTCATGATGTGCCTATATATGGTCATGATGTGATGTCATCATGACCATATTTAGGCATGTTTCATATTTTTGTCAAATGTAATTTGATAGTCTGGACTGAGCTTAATGGATTGGAGAGCTGACAAATTGGAGACCCTTGATGCCCATGTTGATTAGGCCAGCACACTCTAAGCCAGTGATCATTATAACACCTAAATAGATCACTGTCACTTGATTGGTTGATTTCGTAATAGATCCCTGTCACTTGATTGGTGGATTTCTTATCGCGTGACATTGGTTATTTACACCATTTCGTCACTCATCATTGAAATTTATTTCCAACGTTAACCAAAGATACCAAGTCTTTGTGTACATGATATATTCAAAGGATAAAATCAAATAGCCTCTTGACCTGTAAGAACTTAATTACAGTCGCTTGTTTCTGTTTTTTTTTTTCAAGATTTACATAAAGAGCATCAGGCAAGGAGAAGAGAAAACTGCTGGTGAGGAGACTATCATGGAGATGCATAGTCACCTGTTGATGGCACTTTGCAAGTGGATCATGCTTAGCTTAGCTATGATGGATAAACCTCCCCATAATGCAGTAGTTCTTCTGAAGGGGTTAGTATGTATTGTGAATGGTTTCCAAAATCAAGATCATAAGTCAGTAGTCATTCCTTTTGGATCCTCTATATTCTATAACCAAGCCTCTATATTCAACCAACACAAAGCTGCATTGCACTGTTCTTGGTCACTTTATTAGCGAATCGAGTGACTGAGCAGTACGTCAAGAGCACCGCTAACTACAATCTTAACATTGGCGCTGGTTCCAGCAGCTCTTCACCCAGGGTTCAGTTGGTAGAACCAAGTCTTCTCGGATAGGGATTTAAATTGGAGGTTCAGTGTACACATCTGGCTGGTGTGCACTTTATAGAACCCATTGCATTTTTTCAGAAGAAACAGTGAAGACAGTGAAATGTACAGATAATGATATAATAAAGAATATTAACATATTAAATTACTTTTGTCTTTGACTTTTGTAGGCTTGACCAGTGCCTGTTGAGGGCCAACAGCCTCAAAATGAATTCTAACTGGGACTATGTCCTTAACGAGATGGCAAGCCAACTTTACTACTTGATGGGCCTTCATCTGTGCCGCATGGCTGCTATGATAATTATCGCTTCTTGCTAATTAAGTTGACCACCTGGAATACTGTTGAATACTTAGGTAACTATTGACTACCTGAAATACTATTGGTCACTTGGAATACAGTTTACTAGCTTACTGTTGAATACCTGGAATAATCTTGACCACCTTTAGTATCAGTGTCACAAGGAAAACTATTGGCACACCTGCAATACTTCTGACCACCTGTGGTACCTGTCTGTCCAGAGTGCTCATGTTAAGTTGCCAGACATGTCTGGACGGTCAGAGTATGAAACAAAAAAATGGACATTGCTATCAAGCGCAAGGCTAAGTGAAGTCAGTAAGTAACAGAATTAATTTATTTGTGGTGAAAGAATGTAGAGAAGTTAATATGTATTATTTGTAGTCATGCATAATAGTTATTATACTTGTTTCTGTAATATTTAAGCTAGGCCTAGTAATTTGTAATGCTCATGAAGAATATCGAAAAAATCTTCTTTGAATGTCTTTCATTCATATAGCTAGGCCTAGCAGGTTGAGATGCTAGTGAACATGGAATAATCATGCCTTGGAAGTCTGTCATTCATAGTTAAGCTAGACCTCGCAGTTTGTGATGAATGTCAACCACTTCCTTATGGCTGCCCTGGTGTTCAGTCATGCATGACAAACTTAGTCATGTGTGTCATTGTGATACACAATGGCATACTCTGTAACTTTTAAATAGTGTTTCCAACAGTTCACAACTTTTTCGTGTCATGTTTTTAAACTCCAGAAACTTGAATGCATCATCCAATAATACATGTTTTCCTGTTGACCATCTTGGATGTATTTATTAAATAGAAATCATTCGCTTAAAATACTACAGGGGCGCTCAACTGGCAGCCACAGGCCGGGATTGTGTGTTATCCGGCCTGTCAGAACAAGCTTAAAACAATTATAGTCAAGAGCCACTAGGCCTATCAGTTGCACTATTTTACACCATTACCATTTTATCGTGTGACCGTAGATACACCTCCCTCCCCTCTAGACCCTAGGTCACTTTCCATTCTTGCATGATCTCTGGCCTTCAGCGAATCTACAATCCTGGCCTCTGTTATATAATATAGTTGAGAACCCCTGAAATATATATTTGTAGTTGCATTACAAGAGGATTTGAAAATATTTCATTATAATAATTAACTGAATCATTTATTAATAATAGTATTCCAAATAATGGCTGTCTTTGAGTGCATTGAGAGAAATATTTTCATTTGTTGAAAGATGTACTGTAGGGTTGTTGCTGTAGAAAACTAAGTATGCGTGGTAGACACTTTAGGAGTGGGTAGGTGATAACATTGGTAAGCTCTAAATACTGTAAGAGTGGATTTTAAGGATGGGCAATGAGTTAAACAAGGTGGGTGGAGGGTCATTCAATTAGCTTTAGACTGGGTGGACAAATCCAATGCTGGGTTGCTCCATCCACCACCATAACTACATCCCTGGGACTGCTTCATTAAATGAGACTGAGCAAAGTTGAATGAGAATATTCATTTCGTAAATCAGTTTGTAGTTTGAACTGCGCATGCCCGTATTCAAGGTCAATCAACATAAACCTATGCTGATTGACCTGGATAAGGGCATGCGCAGTTCAAACTACAAATTCACTTGTTGGCACTCATTACAACATTCATTATAAATGTTTTATAATATACCACAGATTCTCTTCATTCGATATTCTATGAAAACTAAAGCCTACCTTTCTTAGCTTGGTGACATCATTTCATAGCCAGGATTTGATCCTCTGGAAAATGTAACTGAAGTGACATAATCATAGTTTTATTGCAAATACAAGTGCCATCTGTCTAGGTTAGGCCCACGCTAGCCCAATAATTAGCCTAGGGTAGGACCGGTTTTTAGGCTTAGTATTTGTAATTATACTCACTACAGTGCTGTGCTAGGATTCCTACTACATTTTCTACGACATTAGCAATGGTTTGGGTTGTCTAAATAATTATTTTCATAATTAGGTTCAATCGTAAACTATTTTGAAAAACGCGGTTTCTGTTGGAAATCGCTTCGCTCAAAACAATAACAAACTACTTTTCGGGAGTTAATTGGGTCCTCGAGGTCACGTGAGCAGCTTCATTTTCGATGTCGCAACAAAACATACGTGGGCTGGTAAAACTTGCTGTTCGACGTCTGGTTCCCGGTTGCTCGTACCGTTATAGAGAGAATATTGATACCGCTATAATTTTAGAATAAAAACTTGTGAAATTAATTTATGCTATAAAAACACGAGTTTTCTTGAAGTTGTAATAATTATTTTACTGGAATTTAACTGTAAGGCATACATCATGGGCATGCGTGAACGCCTGAACACGATATTTCTCCAGTTTTGAGTGTTGTTTATAAAACGTGGTGGGTGATGGTGCATGCTTCGCACAGTGGGCTGTGAGTACCTAGAATGACCTAGAGTGGGCCTAGAATTACCAATATTTTTAGCCTAATACCGACTGTTATTAGTAAACATAATAATAGAATGATTGTTTAAAATAGATAAATATACTCAGTAAGTGTTTTATTTTATTAAACTTAAACTAAACTGATGTTGAAAATTTAACGTAGCATGACCGTCTAGCAAAAAATGGGGATTTCCCTAGGGCTGCCTAGAGCAAGAATGCGTTGTTAACATGGCGGTAGCCAGCAGTTTACACGCATTTCCAGATGTTTGTTGTTTAATAATCGGCCGCAAAAGATGAAATTTCTTTATGTGAACATTTATAAATAATGTCAATGTTTCAAAATAATTAAAAACTTAACATTATGGGAACGGTGCGGCTTATACACAGGTGACACAAAAAATCGTGATATTCGCGTCCTAATTTGGGGGGCGGCTTATACACAGGTGCGGCTTATACACCGGAATATACGGTAAATTGAAGTTTGCAATGTGACAAATGAATGAAACAAAATATATATGGAGCTAATAAATGACATGGTGAATGACATAAATGTTAAACAAGGAATTATTTATTAATACTAATTCCACCAATCTAATGATCTATTAGGTGTGTTGAAATACTGGATGTTTTCTAATGAGTCTTGACTTTGATCAGTTAAGTTAAAACCAATTTTACATTATTTTATCTGTGTATTAACTATTGATGTTGTTCTTTTAGTTTCTAGCCCATATGTTACATGCATTCCAAAAACAGTATGGTCCAGATTGGCTGGAGGAATGCCACAGGACCACCGCCAACCTACAGGTACTAAATTCATTACACTATTTAAATTTACTCATCTTGACACAATTATCCCTGTCTCTTATACACATCTAGATGTGTATAAGAGACAGGCCTACTAGTCTCTGTGGATGACCTAGCCTAGCTACACTAGCTAGGGCTGCTACAAGTTGACGACGTACTGTACAACTGAACGGCGAGCCAATGACGGATACCAGCATAGGCTAACCTATACTGAAGTAATGTGAACTGAAACTCGACTGAATAGACAGACCAAATTTGAAATGTCAAAACAATTTTCATCTAACGTAATAATACTAATACTACTTATTAGTAACAAATTAAAGTCAGTAGCTCTACCTAGGCCTACAATTGTCAAATTTAGTGAAATCAAACATCTAGGCGTATCTACAAAGAACTTACATTTCACATCGCAGAGCAAACAAGGAGCAAGAGATGTCGCGCATTGAATGATTCTGTTCTCCCGAACAGGTCACCAATTAACGTAATGTCAACTTAACGTCAAGTTTACGTTTCGGATTGGCAAACTGAGCTTAAAGTGTCTACTGCAAGTGTAAAAGCAATGAAAAGCAGAGGAATCACTTTCACAACCCTGTTCTCCTTGGGTTTCTTTTTGTA